TGGCTGAGGTGGAGAGGTGGGCGGGGCACTGGGCTACTCACCTCATGAGGGGACATCCCCGACACTGCCAGGCAGCACATTCACAATGCAAAGGAAACATATTTCACCCAACATATAATTAGCCTGTGGAACTCACTGCCACAAAGTATCACTGAGGCCAAGGTTTCTTCAGGAGTCACGAGGCTCAGACATTTGCAGGGACAATGGAGCCACGCAGAGTTACACTGGACAGCACCAAAAATTCAGCCAGGCTGTAACCCTCCACGGCACAAGCTGGCCAGCGCAGTCAGCTGGAGCCTCCAGCCTGGGGCAGGCTGCTCAGGAGGGGCTCTCAAGGGCTGCAGCAGCTGGTGACAGGAGCGGTCGTACAGGAGCCTCGTGTGATCCCGCCTGGCCACTCCAGTGGCTCGGGAGCCTGGGTTGCGCACTCTGGCCAGAGACAAGGTTTCCTCTAACTGGGGTTGTGTGCGAGGGGTCCCTACCCAGAGCAGGACATTTGATCCACCCCGCACCGAGCCAGACGTGCCTGCCTCCCCAGCATGAATGGGCCTCAGAGACCTTGGGGAAAGGGCTCGGAAGGACTGACAGGCCTTAAGCAAACAGCAGGGAGGCAGTTAAGAGAGAGCCCAGCTCCCTGTGACTGCTCAGGAAACCTCAGGAATTTACTGACAGTGCCAATGAATGGGCCAAGGCCACCTCCTCGCAGGGGAATGGGGCCAGGAGCGGGGGCAGGAAGGAGTTAACACTGCCAGCTAGAGGAATGAGAGGCCTTGCAGAATCCGGGAGAGGGGGGCAAGGATGGGGACTCAGCAATCCTCCCACACCTGCCCACCTCCATGCTGGCCCCTTCTCAGACCCTCCCCGTGGTTGTCCCCTCACCTGGGGGCTCAGGGAGTCTTCCACCAGCACTAGCATTGGGGAGTGTCCCTGGGCAGCCGGGGCCAAGCTCTGCAGAGCTCAGCATGGACGTGGCCTGCTCTGCTCTGTCATCTCTGCTGACAGCACCTCTGGAGCTCTGCCCTCCCTCACCTGCTCATCCAGGCCATGGCTGAACCCTGCCTCCTCTTCCTGTTGCTTGTCTCCCTTTCCCCCCCTCCGCTGGGACACCCACCCCGCCCCATGCTCCAAGTGGCCCTCCTTCCCCTGCACCAAGCCTGTGGCCCTTGGTCCCTGGCCCCATCCCCCTTGCTGTGGTCAGTGTGCGCTCCAGAAGGGATGTGGACCATTAGGCAAGGGATGAGAGAAGAGCTACAGGAACAATGTGAGGTCTGGCAAACCAGCCCTGCAGCAAGACCCTGAAGCAGCTCAATCCAAGGGTAGGCTAAAGGGTGACTTGGCCTTGTTTGCAAGTTCACATTCCAGAGCCCAACAGCTCCCTCCTGAAATGACACAGCAGAAAGCAAGGAACTCCCCACTGACTGTCTGGAGGCATTGGTGCTGCCAGTGATGTAGCTTGTGGGCCTGGCAGGTGACCTGGCTTCCAGGAAACGCTCCTTGCTAATACAGAGCCTGGGGCAGGGATGGAGCCAGATGCATTGGGGGAACCAATGGTGGTGACATTCCCAGGTGGCACCAGGAAGGGCTGCGGCCCTACCACGGGCAAAGACAAACTCCGGTGCCCCAAGGCCAGACACGCAGGCCAGATACAGCTTGGGCAAGGCTGCTAAGAGAAAAAGCCACAGCTGGAGAATCCTTAGGGGCTCCATCAGTCCCTCTCCAGTGGCCAGGCTGCCCACTACCTGGGGGCCACGTAAAGGCCCCAGCAGAGTCCTACCTGTGCAGAAGCCCTGCCTATGGTTCAACTCAGCCACCCTTCTCCATTCCACGTGTCCACGATGGGCTTGCGGCCCCAGACAGCCCAGCCTCCGCAAAGGGGCTGCAGCTGGGTCAGGTGCTCAAACAGTTCTGGTCTCTCCTGCTGACGGGGGGGGGGAAGAGTGACCTACAGCCATGGCTGTGCTCTGAGTAACGCCAGGGCCAGGGGGCACCCGTGCTATCTCAGCCTCCACCTCCCTCCTCTCTGGGGAGCTGAACAGCGCCCAGTGCTGCAGCTGGGCCTCTGGGACACGGATTTTGGTAACCCCGGTGCCAGTCAGAGCCAGGGGCACTGTTCTGCCCACTACAGACACGAGTCTGTGTGCACACGAGGAGTGGGGCCTGGCACCACAGAGGTAGTGCAGGGGAGGAAGTGCAGCCAAGGCAATCCTGTGGAAACAGGGTATTTCTGGGGGCTCCCTAGCTTGTGCTGGGGACGGGGCCAAGCCCACAGCCCTGGAACGGGACAGGACACAAGCCGCTGCCCTGGCGTTAACACAGGGATGTCTGGCTGCCAGGGTCTAGCCTGGTACTCATAGTAAAACTGCCTCACTTCTGATCCTTACCCTGTCCGAAAGATTAATTCAGTCCCCTCCAGACTGTGGAAACAAAGCTGCCCTGGGCTTTTCTGGGCATCTCTCGGCTATTGGTGCCTAAACAGCCAGAGCAGCATATGCTCCCTCCTCTAGCTGCTGCAGAACTGGGCCCTGTCCTGTGGGGCACAGCCTGGCCCCAGGGACCCCTTGCACGGCTGACCCCAGGCTCAGCAATCTCTTAGCCAATCACAAGGCCCCCTAGCCTGAGAAAGCTCCATCTGGTGAAACAAGCACACGGGACTCCAGGAGCATGTCCCCCAGGGTCCTGCTCTCTGCCTGGGCTCCCCACTGCATACAGAGCCTGGTTCTGGGCCTCTGGCCTGCTGCCAAGCCCCCAAGATACCTGGGTCCCCAAGAGATGCCTGTGGCCATGATGACAACCACATCACCAGGACAACGAACTGGTTGCCGCATGGGGGACAGCCAGGGGCTTGTGAGAACAGGTGACAGAACCGTCCTGGGAGGCTGCCCTGGTTTCTGGAACTCACTGCCACAGGAGAGGAGACCACTATGCTCCAAAGCTCAGCTCTGTGCCCGAGCTCCCTTGCAAGAGCCCCTCACTCACACATGCTGGCCGAGCCTGGGGCACAGCCCCTTTTCCAGCCCTGCTCACACCAGTACTCCCTGCAGCATCTCCCTCGCTGGGTGCACTGGGGCACCCTGCTGATCAGGGCAAGAATACCCATCTAGGCGCTGGCTGCAGCCCCAGGCAAAAGCAATCCCAGCCCAGGAGCCTGTGACCCATTCCAAGGAGAACCGCTTCCCTGCGCTGCGATGGCTGCAGCGGGTGTGACTAGGTAACAACCATGCAGCCCTATGGAGCTCAGCCCCAAGGAAAAGCAGGGGGAGGGCAGAGGAGACTGTGACCCACAAGCGCTGATGGATAGGCAGAGGCAGCTGCAGCTCCAAGGCAGGACTCACCCAGCCATGAGGCTAGAACCCAGGAGTCCTGGCTCCCAGCCCTGCTGCTCTCACCACTAGACCCCACTCCCGTTTCAGAGCCGGGGATAGAACCCTGGCTCCCAGCTCTGCTGCTCTAACCCACTAGTCCATTCCTCCTTGCTTGGTACTGTAACCTCCTCCCCAGCACAAAGTCTCTCTCACTCTGGCCCCTGGCTCAGCAGAGTAGAACACGAGGGGCTGGGGCACAACCCCGGCCTGCGCTGTGAGCTCTGCCTTTCACTGGGAGGCGCAGAGCCCAGCAAGCGGAGCTGGGGCCCTCTCGATGAGGCAGCCAGGGGATGGGAGGCCACCAGTCATTAAAGCTGCCGATTTCTGCTCCTTTCCCAAAGCTGTTGCCGCCCCCAGAGGTTGGGGAGTTCAGTACAGCCAGCGTACCTCTGCCCCTGCAGGCCCCAGTGCCCCCACGGGTACCAGAGCCAGGGAGGAGGGATGGCCAGGGCGCGGCTGGCGTGGGGGATGCCAGCACAGCCCTTGCCTGGCTGGGGCGGGTTCTTTGGGGTCCGCTTGGGGCTCAGAAAACAGCAACAGGCAGCCTGTTTGCAGAAAGTGACCTAGACGTAACACGCAGCTACTTGGGCAGCTGCAGCCGTCTGCAACCTCCACAGTGAGCTGCTGCCAGCCAGCCCCAGACGGCCGCCGGGCACAGCCCTGCCAAGTGCCACCGGGGCACAGGCTGCTCCATTTGGCTTACCCGGGGGCAACGACCCTGCCCCACCAGCCACCGCTCGCCTTACTAAACGCTGCTGCAGGAGAGGTCTGAACCCACCCAGAGGCAGACTCTCCCCGGGGGATAAAAGGAGCCCGCCCCGCCCCCGCCCCCTGTCCTGGGTCCCCCTCCCCTCCCCACACAGGCTCCTCCAGGAGCTGCAGCAAATTCCAGCGTCTGTGGAAATTCCGCGTCCCCTTCGGAGGGCTGTAAATTACCGCTCAGCAAACAAGCCGCTGGCCGCCAGGAGCCCGAGCAGCCAGCCCAAGGCAGGACAGCTACACAACCCTACACTGCACCACACTCAACAAACAAGCCGTTGTGCTGCAAACCCTGAGCAAGCCCAGCAGAGCACGCAGCGCCCAGCAACACAACCACACCGCACTGTACACTGCTCTCCTCCCGCACACACCCTCGGTGACCTTAACTGCCCAGCCCCAAGCCTTCTACATCCCCCGCAACGCACAGCCCGCAGCCCTCGCACCCACCGCTGCGCAGCCCCTCCCCCAGCCGCACAACTCCCCTGCTACACAACTCTGTCCGCACCCCCACACACACAATGCACAAGTGTGCCGCACACAGCCCTCACCCAGTATACAACGGCACACACGCAGCCCACAGCCCCCTCAACACACAACCCGCACACTCCACCCAACCCCCCCACACTGTCCACGGACCCCCCGGACACAACCCTCCCCCCTCCGCAACCTCTCCAGTAAAACGGGCCAAGCTTCAGGACAGAGGGAAACAAACCCAGCAGGGCCCCCCCTTCCCCGCCCCGAGAGCTCGGCCCGGGGCTCAGCCCGCCCGGGGGCTGTGGGGTCCGATACCGCGGCGATGGGCACCAGCACAGAGCACGGCAGCGACGGGCTAACGGGGAGCCCGGGCCGCTGCGCTGCGCTCCCCCGGCGGGGGGTTACCTGGCGCCCCTGTCCCGGCCGGCCGGCGCTGAGGGCGAAAGGCTGCGGGGCTGCTCCGCGGGGCCTGCGCTCGCTGCTGGGTGGGGCCAGCTCGGCCCCTCTCTCCGCCCCCGGAGCCCTGCGGAGAGCGGCTGCCGGCCAGCGCGGGGCCCCCGGGAGGGACCGGCCCGGCCGCGCCCCGCCCGCTCCGCACCGCGGCCTCTGGGCGCTGCGGGAGCCGGCGTCAAACCCCATCGCCAGCGGGCGGCAGCGGGAGGGCGCAGGTCGGACCCCGGGTGGGGGCGGGGGGGGCCGTAGCCCCACAGACCCCACCCCGGGCAGGGGCCGGGCGTGTTGGGGGGGGGCCAGCAGCCCCACAGACCCCACCCCGGGCAGGGGCCGGGCGTGTTGGGGGGGGGGGCCAGCAGCCCCACAGACCCCACCCCGGGCAGGGGCCGGGCGTGTTGGGGGGGGGGGGGGCCAGCAGCCCCACAGACCCCACCCCGGGCAGGGGCCGGGCGTGTTGGGGGGGCGCAGCCCCACAGGGGGGGGCAGCAAGACCACCCCGGGCCGGGCGTGTTGGGGGGGGGCCAGCAGCCCCACAGACCCCACCCCGGGCAGGGGCCGGGCGTGTTGGGGGGGGGGCCAGCAGCCCCACAGACCCCACCCCGGGCAGGGGCCGGGCGTGTTGGGGGGGGGCAGCAGCCCCACAGACCCCACCCCGGGCAGGGGCCGGGCGTGTTGGGGGGGGGGGGGCAGCAGCCCCACAGACCCCACCCCCGGGCAGGGGCCGGGCGTGTTGGGGGGGGGGGCAGCAGCCCCACAGACCCCACCCCCCCGGGCAGGGGCCGGGCGTGTTGGGGGGGGGCAGCAGCCCCACAGACCCCACCCCGGGCAGGGGCCGGGCGTGTTGGGGGGGGGGCAGCAGCCCCACAGACCCCACCCCGGGCAGGGGCCGGGCGTGTTGGGGGGGAGCCACCCCGGGCAGGGGCCGGGCGTGTTGGGGGGGGGGCCAGCAGCCCCACAGACCCCACCCCGGGCAGGCACTGCCTATGGAATTCCCCTGTGATGGGTCTGGGGGCTTCTGCACTTCAGCTTCTGCTGCGGTTTGACTGTCCCTCATCACTGTAGGGTCCAAGCGCCCCCGTCTTGCCCGGGCCCTCTCAGCCCAGGAGCATCAGGTAACAAGGGCCCCTCCCAGATGAGGGGGGAGGGCTCAGGCCTCACCCTGCTAGGTGAGGGGTTGCTACTGAGAGCTGCCCCCCAAGTGCCACCGTCTAAGGATGAGGGCCTTTTTCTACAGTAAGCAACAGCAGCCACAGCAGGGCAGCAGCCTGAGCTAAGATGCAGAAAATCACAGCCTCACAGTCCATGTAATATCTCTTGGTGGAGTGGCAGGGGTCAAGGATAATCTAGGCATGGCCCAATATCAAACAACAAACATACTTTTCCTCAGTCTTTAATAAGGCTAAGGGGATTTTAGGGATAATGGTAGCATGACAAATGGGAATGAGGATATGGAGGTAGATATTACCCTATCTGAGGTAGAAGCGAAACTCAAACAGCTTAATAGGACTAAATTGGGGGGCCCAGATAATCTTCATCCAAGAATATTAAAGGAATTGACACCTGAAATTGCAAGCCCATTAGCAAGAATTTTTAATGAATCTGTAAACTCAGGGGTTGTACCGTATGACTGGAGAATTGCTAACACAGTTCCTATTTTTAAGGAAGGGGAAAAAAAAAAAAAAAAAAAGAGATCCAGGTAGCTACAGGCCTGTTAAAAGAAAAGGAGGACTTGTGGCACTTTAGAGACTAACAAATTTATTTGAGCATAAGCTTTCGTGAGCTACAGCTCACTTCATCAGATGCATTCAGTGGAAAATACAGTGAGGAGATTTATATAGTTGATGAGGTTGATGGTGGGATGAAAATTGTTGAAATCATGGTGGAATTCCTCAAGGGCTTCTTTTCCATGGGTCCAGATGATGAAGATGTCATCAATATAGCGCAAGTAGAGTAGGGGTATTAGGGGACGAGAGCTGAGGAAGTGTTGCTCTAAGTCAGCCATAAAAATGTTGGCATACTGTGGGCCATGCAGGTACCCACAGCAGTGCCACTGATTTGAAGGTATGCATTGTCCCCAAATGTGAAATAGTTGTGGGTGAGGACAAAGTCACAAAGTTCAGCAACCAGGTTAGCCGTGACATTATCGGGGATACTGTTCCTGATGGCTTGTAGTCCATCTTTGTGTGGAATGTTGGTGTAGAGGGCTTCTACATCCATAGTGGCCAGGACGGTGTTTTCAGGAAGATCACCAATGGATTGTAGGTTTCAGAGGAACAGCCGTGTTAGTCTGTATTCGCAAAAAGAAAAGGAGTACTTGTGGCACCTTAGAGACTAACCAATTTATTTGAGCATGAGCTTTCGTGAGCCACAGCTCACTTCATCGGATGCATACCGTGGAAACTGCAGCAGACTTTATATACACACAGAGAATATGAAACAATACCTCCTCCCACCCCACTGTCCTGCTGGTAATAGCTTATCTAAAGTGATCAACAGGTGGGCCATTTCCAGCACAAATCCAGGTTTTCTCACCCTCCACCCCCCCACACAAATTCACTCTCCTGCTGGTGCTAGCCCATCCAAAGTGACAACTCTTTACATAATCAAGTCGGGCTATTTCCTGCATAGATCCAGGTTTTCTCACATCCCCCCCACCCCCATACACACACAAACTCACTCTCCTGCTGGTAATAGCTCATCTAAACTGACCACTCTCCAAGTTTAAATCCAAGTTAAACCAGAACATCTGGGGGGGGGGGGTAGGAAAAAACAAGAAGAAACAGGCTACCTTGCATAATGACTTAGCCACTCCCAGTCTCTATTTAAGCCTAAATTAATAGTATCCAATTTGCAAATGAATTCCAATTCAGCAGTTTCTCGCTGGAGTCTGGATTTGAAGTTTTTTTGTTTTAAGATAGCGACCTTCATGTCTGTGATTGCGTGACCAGAGAGATTGAAGTGTTCTCCGACTGGTTTATGAATGTTATAATTCTTGACATCTGATTTGTGTCCATTTAGTCTTTTACGTAGAGACTGTCCAGTTTGACCAATGTACATGGCAGAGGGGCATTGCTGGCACATGATGGCATATATCACATTGGTGGATGTGCAGGTGAACGAGCCTCTGATAGTGTGGCTGATGTTATTAGGCCCTGTGATGGTGTCCCATGAATAGATATGTGGGCACAATTGGCAACGGGCTTTGTTGCAAGGATAAGTTCCTGGGTTAGTGGTTCTGTTGTGTGGTATGTGGTTGTTGGTGAGTATTTGCTTCAGGTTGCGGGGCTGTCTGTAGGCAAGGACTGGCCTGTCTCCCAAGATTTGTGAGAGTGTTGGGTCATCCTTTAGGATAGTGGTTTATGAATGTTATAATTTCCTCAGGAAGTCAGTGGTGTCTCGAAGATAGCTGGGAGTGCTGGTAGCGTAGGGCCTGAGGAGGGAATCTACATAGCCAGACAATCCTGCTGTCAGGGTGCCAATGCCTGAGATGATGGGGCGCCCAGGATTTCCAGGTTTATGGATCTTTGGTAGCAGATAGAATACCCCAGGTCGGGGTTCCAGGGGTGTGTCTGTGCGGATTTGTTCTTGTGCTTTTTCCAGGGAGTTTCTTGAGCAAATGCTGTAGTTTCCTTTGGTAACCCTCAGTGGGATCAGAGGGTAATGGCTTGTAGAAAGTGGTGTTGGAGAGCTGCCGAGCAGCCTCTTGTTCATATTCTGACCTATTCATGATGACAACAGCACCTCCTTTGTCAGCCTTTTTGATTATGATGTCAGAGTTGTTTCTGAGGCTGTGGATGGCATTGTGTTCTGCACGGCTGAGGTTATGGGGCAAGTGATGCTGCTTTTCCACAATTTCAGGCCGTGCACGTTGGCGGAAGCACTCTATGTAGCCTGGACCAGTCCACATAAGAGATCCACTTCCTGGACACTACAGTGCTAATAAGCAATGGTCACATAAACACCACCCTATACCAGAAACCTACATGCCTCCAGCTTTCACCCAGACCACACCACACGGTCCATTGTCTACAGCCAAGCTCTACGATACAACCGCATTTGCTCCAACCCCTCAGACAGAGACAAACACCTACAAGATCTCTATCAAGTATTCTTACAACTACAATACCCACCTGCTGAAGTGAAGAAACAGATTGACAGAGCCAGAAGAGTACCAAGAAGTCACCTACTACAGGACAGGCCCAACAAAGAAAATAACAGAACGCCACTAGCCGTCACCTTCAGCCCCCAACTAAAACCCCTCCAACGCGTTATCAAGGATCTACAACCTATCCTGAAGGATGACCCAACACTCTCACAAATCTTGGGAGACAGGCCAGTCCTTGCCTACAGACAGCCCCCCAACCTGAAGCAAATACTCACCAGCAACCACACAACAGAACCACTAACCCAGGAACCTATCCTTGCAACAAACCCCGTTGCCAACTGTGCCAACATATCTATTCAGGGGACACCATCATAGGGCCTAATCACATCAGCCACACTATCAGAGGCTCGTTCACCTGCACGTCTACAAATGTGATATATGCCATCATGTGCCAGCAATGCCCCTCTGCCACGTACATTGGTCAAACTGGACAGTCTCTACGTAAAAGAATAAATGGACACAAATCAGATGTCAAGAATTATAACATTCATAAACCAGTCGGAGAACACTTCAATCTCTCTGGTCACTCGATTTCTGATCTCAAAGTGAGTATCCTTCAACAAAAAAACTTCGAAAACAGACTCCAACGAGAGACTGCTGAATTGGAATTAATTTGCAAATTGGATACAATTAATTTAGGCTTGAATAGAGACTGGGAGTGGTTGAGTCATTATACTAAGTAAAACTATTTCCCCTTGTTTATTCCTCCTCCCCCTATATTCCTCAAACGTTCTTGTTAACTCCTGGAAATGTGCTGGAAGTGGCCCACCTCGATTATCACTACAAAAGGTTTTCTCTCCCCCCACCCCACTCTTCTGCTGGTAACAGCTCATCTCCAGTGATCACTCTCCTTACAATGTGTATTTTTTCCATGGTCTGTGTGTATATAAATCTCCTCACTGTATTTTCCACTTATGCATCCGATGAAGTGAGCTGTAGCTCACAAAAGCTTATGCTCAAATAAATTGGTTAGTCTCTAAGGTGCCACAAGTACTCCTTTTCTTTTTGCGAATACAGACTAACACGGCTGTTACTCTGAAACCTGTCATACAGGCCTGTTAGTTTGACATCTGTAGTGTGCAAGGTCTTGGAAAAAATTCTGAAGGAGAAAGTAGTTAAGGACATTGAGGTCAATGGTAAATGGGACAAAATACAACATGGTTTTA